TGGCTAAAGGTTTCCGACAATATCTTCTTTTGGGTACAACAGAGGAAAGAAACAAACAGGTTTGGAACCACAGAGTGAGTAATTGTGTGGGAAACTGTCAATTTGAGTATATTATTCATGTAGATCCCTCACTATTTCAGATATAATGTTGTAAGAATTAAGCTTTTTACTAAAAACAAAACAAAAAACTACTGTGAAATTGAGGAATCGATGACTCTTATAAAATCATGGATGTCATAAAGATGGCCAATGCAGAAGTTATCCAGGGGCTGTTGTTTGCATCATTTTGTTTTATAATACATCCAGTCCAGGCAGATACTCCATACTATTTATAGATTGCACTTATGTGAAGAAAATCCATAATGCCGTTGTGATGGAATAAAGCCAATGGCGAGCAATGAAATATAAACTGTGATAATAACGGCACAAAGAATATTGTTTTATTGGAAACAACACTGAGCCTTTTTAGACACGCATAACTTAAATCTGACAACTTCAATTTCAGTCAGCCAGATAAAGCGTACAAATACCAAATCTGAAACGTTCAGCAATCATTATCATATCTAGCTCCAAAAAAAAAAAACACAAAACATTTATTAATCAGACTCAAGTCACATTAGGAGTGATTTACAGTTGTAAATTTTACCTTGGCCAAATTAGTCCTTCAATATATGAACGCAACTGAAAAATGTCAATAACAGACTGAAAGTGAACAAATTGGCCTTTATGGTAATTTACAGCCAGTGGTGATACATAAACAAAACTATTAAAGTTCTTGTAGCTCATAATCCTCTATAAGCATCTTTTCACAGATGGTCAGAGGTGTACATTGATCCAGCCTGTTTTGCTTAGCTTATATAGCGTGCTTGAGATGCCTTCATCTGGTGAGGCTTATTTTAGAAATCTCCTGGTCCATTGTTCCCATCCTCTTTCTTTCCTCAGAGGGCCAGTTTCATTGCCCACCCCATGGATTTGGACTCCTGTCCCCCACTGCTCTTTTCAGCTTCTGGGTTAAACATTTATTTATGAATAGGGAAAGCACAGTGCCAAAACAAATCAATGTTTCCCACTGTCCTGATGTGCATGACTTGACAATATCCTGCCCAGCTGGCCCACTGGGCAACTTCAGTTTTGTGTACTTTTCTCCCTGCCAGAGTTTTGTCGAATCTGAGTTTCAAATTTGTTGAGCACAACTATGTGAACGAGGATGTCAGGCATTTTTTTAAGCCTATAAAGCAATAAGATGCTGGTGTAAAAAAAGGTTGCTATTTTTGGTGCATTCCAATGCAGGGTAATTAGCAAACTATAAAACTATTATCTTTGGTTGCCACATGAAAAAGAATAAATATTAAATTAAAAGATTAAGATAGATAAAAAGCTTTAATATACTTAATTTCAGCTATAGCGAATGACATATTTATATTTGAGTACACTTTAATAAACTAAAATAACTAAGATTAAATTAGAAACAAATATAAAAAAATTACAGAATTGTTTAAAAAATAATCAATTGAAAGTTCAAATGAAAATAAATTATAAATAAATATAGGCTACATAAAAAAACATTAAAATTGATAATAAATATTTCAAAAGCTACTGAATAATACTAAAATAATGTTTTTAATATTAGGAATGAACAATTGAAAAGCTTTTGCAACGTAATTTGTATGTACCCTAATATTTATATCTTTAAAATACAGGGCATTTATATCGCATTTTTAGTAATTGTAATACCAATTACTAAAGTTATTTGTCCCTCTACTCCAAAATTCTATGTTTAATTTAAACAATTACCAAATTAAATTATAATACCTGTACTGGGTTGATGTGTAAATGTTATTGATTTCATTTGTGGTCAAGATGTCTGACTCAAGTAAGAGTGTCAGCAAACACCGACGTTGAAATGCAAACAAATGCACAAGCATCTACAAAAAAGCCATAAATTAAGTCTAAACGCTAATGGGGTTCCATTAATACTTCTATTCAATAGGTATTACTACTCTTGATAGCGGTTAACCCTCTCAAGTAGGCATTCTTGAGAGCTGAAGCGCCTGTGAAAAGGCGGCGGCGGGAAAGAGTCTTTTAGCGCCAAATGAGCAATGGATTGCATGCGGGCGAGAGACACCCCGCGGAACTGAAGAGGAGGTTAACTCGCTCACTTCACACAGACATATGAAAGGATAAACTAGTTTCACTTTAAGAGGGAGGAGCAGAGCCCAGGAGGCGGGAGTTACGCCATGATTTATTAGGAGAAAAGGACAGCGAGGGGATCCTTCAGCTCGCGAGAGTCACGCTGGTGGGTTAAGGGCTCGAGCGGGAGTTTGCCTAAATAATACATGATAGGTTTCGGATATGCTTACCTCACTACTTCAGTTTTAAAGGGTTGTTGTTATAAGTTTAGAGGTAAAACTAACTATATTTAAATGTTATACTTCACTAGAAACACCTGCTTATAGAATTTTACAGAAGGTAAAAACGAATTTATGGTAAAGTATTGTACTAAAATAGGCATCTGTTGTCTAAACGTTTAGTGTGTTGATTTTTTTTAACGTAAAACGTATTTTTAGAAATTAATACAGTATATTGGATGAGTAATACTTTTAGCCTACACGGATAAAATTAAGGTACTGTATTGGCATCACGGAATAATTATAATGCAATTATCCTTCATAGTAGATTCAGGTTCTTTGGTTTATATAAACAGTTTGAATGTAAAATGTAATTGTTTCTTGAGGAAATGTTATTCGGAAAACAAGAACATATTTTGAAACCAGATTATATGTTGTTAATATATATATAAAATTGTGCAGTGATGTCACTGCTGCCTATTTATTTTGTTTGTTGCCTATATAAATTGTGTCTATCTATCTATCTATCTATCTATCTATCTATCTATCTATCTATCTATCTATATATATATATATATATATATATATATATATATATATATATATATATATATATATATATATTGTGCAGTGATGTCACTGCTGCTTTTTTTGTTTGTTGCCTGTATAAATTGTGTGTATATGTATGTATGTATGTATGTATGTATGTATGTATGTATGTATATATATATATATATATATATATATATATATATATATATATATATATATATATATATATATATATATATATATATTGTATTTATACATACAATGAACTTGTAGGTATAAATTATTCATATGGCAAGAAAAGAATGTGTATATATATATATATATTGTGTATAAATGTGTATATATATATATATATTGTGAATGTGTATATATATATATATATATATATATATATATATATATATATATATAATATATATATATATATAATATATATATATATATATTGTATTTATACATACAATGAACTTGTAGGTATAAATTATTCATATGGCAAGAAAAGAATGTGTTTTTAGAGGATAGCCTACGTTATAAAAAAATTATAAATTTAGTTTTCTATTGTTTACACACTACTTTCTTAGTTCAGCAAACTTTTTCTTTTAAGTTAAATTTCTTAAACTTATTTTACGTTTTTTTATTATCATAATAATTAATATTTTATGCGTGTTTTATACCCTTTTTGTATAAAAGGTTTTATTTATTTTACAATGATTTAAGCGTTATGCAGGCTATTTTACGTAAGTGCCTGGTTACAGCGTTGTACTAGCTTTCCTCACCCCAAGTAAAGGTGTCCAAAAACAAACGTCATGCAGTGTGTGTTGACAGAATAAACACTGTATGGATTGTGATCACTTTTGAGGAGAAAATGGGGCTGTTGTGTCTTTAAGAGGCTGCTGGTCCCTCGCTCGCAGCTGCTGGCTTGTGTGCAATGGAAGACAGTGGAGATTCATTACTTCTACAGCACAATGGACATTTATCACCCCATGGTGTTATTCAAATTCAGTACCAAGCGAAGATCATCCCCACTCCCTCTCGCCGTTCGTCGTGGCAACACCAGTATTGTTACGGGAGCCTGAGAAAAGCCTTCATAGGAAGGTGATAGTCCGTGCCATTCCATAAGAACCGTCCCATCAAGGCATTGCTGAGGGCGTGCAGGCTTTTCGAGCGACCAAACGCATCCCTCCTTCTTGCATTTGACCATTTTCTCCGCTTGCGTTAGTGAGGATACAGCTCCCGCGCGCACAGGACAGAGGCTTCCTTGCTTTTTCATCACCACTGCGTTGCAAGAAGACGCTTTGATTGAACACCATCGCTCCACGGCCATCAAAAGTGTCAAAATGGGACGACTGGAAATGCTTTTGGCTAGTTTTTCGGTCTTTGCAAATATCAGAAGATGATATTCCTTTGCCTGATGTCGAGAGGTGGAACTACAAGGATGTGCGCCCTTACAGGTGCAGAAATGGCGAAGAGCTGCTTCTGTAACAAACAGGACTTTACAAAACAGCTGATTTCATTTTAATCTTTTAAAGAAGTGTTTGTTATGTTTTGAGCTGAGGTTTGCAATTTTTTTGTGTGGTTTAGCCTATAGCCTACGGTTTTTTAACAAGCGCAGTGAAGGCGCGTCAAACTTTTAACCTCTTTTTCATTAAAACGAGCATACATTTAAGTTTAGAATGATGATTAAAATTTAAATACAGTTTGCGGTTTATGGATTAAAACATATTTATAAAATTTGTGCTTTTTTCTGAAATGAAACCAGTTTCAACTTTATTTTATTTTTATTTAGGAAATGGTACATTTGTTTTAGTTAATCCTGAGTTAAAAATTGACGCATAAAAGCTAGAAACTAAGGTCAGTATGCCTGTTTTCATTACAACAAACCACGCGATACACTTTTGTAATTTAAAAGAAAAAAAACAGGCATTCAATTTAATAAAAATGCTTAATGAAGTGCTCTAAACAGACTTATTAAAATGCAATCTGTGTGAAAATATCGGCTACTAATAGGCCCAACAGCCACAGAGACATGAGTTAGTAGTATTTCATTTTAGAAAGAGAATAAAGTTTTTATGAATGTTGTGGCTAAATTATCCTTTTGAAAGGGTCCCAGAGATTGATTGTCCAAACGCAATTCTTGTAACATATAATATAAATCCAAGAATTGTGCCTGGACATCTGTTGCTGGAGATTCAACATCATCTTTCTGGAGGACACAGGCCTAGCTCTTGGCTTCTACCTTAGCTACACTAAATATTCATTTTCGTTAAGTTAAGGCTAAAGGTAAGACGGCACTGGAACAATTATTTTACAACTTATATTTGAATTAATGTTTTCTAGATACATGCAATAAAATATAACAATTATGCAAACCTTATCCTCTTTTGTTTAATGCATTCGCATTTTATATCGTCATTCATTTGGGAAATGTATTATTGATTATTTTAGCTAAAACGAAAAGTGTGTATGCATGTATAGAAAGGTTATTTGAAAAAAATTGAAAAAAAACCTTTCTGGGGTAATACAATATATAATTTCCCATACGAAATTCGTTGACTATAAGATTCCTCATAATATGGTTTGTTCATGTTAGTATGGTTTTCTCATTGTGTTGGTAGATGAATAAAAAGTCACGCTGATTATAAAAGCATGGTGGGAAAATGCTTTGAGCATGCTTAAGCTTTTCATTCACTAAGACTGCCATCTTTTGCCCAAAGCTGCATGCTGAAGGACTTTGAAACGGAGTGAACTAAAACGCCATTTACTGAACTCATTTTCTGTCTCATTTATTAAGCTCACAGCAAATATTTATTTAGTTTTTATGTTTCTGTTTTTATTTTATTTTGTTTTTCACAGTAGGTTTGTCTGTTTTATTGCAGACTGTAGGCCTGTATCACAGAGTCAGGCCAAAAAAGTGCTGTGTGTGTGTGTGTTTGTGTGTGTGAATATGAGGATGTGTGATGTCATCTGATGCTTGTGAACTAACAATAACATTAAATTAAAGGTTATTCGTATTTTTTTTAAATAGAAATCATTAAGCTGAATGCAGTTTAACATCGGGGCAGCTTGTCGGTAAATAGTTGTGTTGTCTTCATTTGATATTGCATTTCAGACAGTCGATTGATTGTATTGGTAACTACGTCCTACATGCTGAATCAATAAACTGCTAATTACACTACAAAGTAGTTTCAGTGACGTTTTTGACACCGAAAAATACGACACCAAAAATGTACAACACTCCAACAGACAGATTTCTTTTATATGTGGAAGCACAGAGGGCAAATTAAACCGTTGCACCTGCTCCACGAGTGGGCCGATAAACTAAAAATAACTTATTAAATGAATTAGACAAACTCCTTTGACCTAAACTCATTTGGTGAATTGTGATTAAATAGTCTGAACCCAGTCTGCATCTTTTGGCAAGCTGGGCCTAATATTTTAAAGCTTCAGCATATATGACGAGACAAAAAAGTTTTAGCTAATATAAAAATAATAAAAATAAACAATTGTACGATTTATGAACCTCAAAACCAACTCTAAAGGGTTTGTGCAGAGAAGAGCTTAGCTCAGGTCACAACTAATTGTGTTTATATTGGTCGTATATGCCAAATAATTGCGTAATTTGTATATGAAAGTAGCCTTACAATTTTTCCGTTTCCGGTTTTAAAAAATATGATCATATTAAACTTAAGGCGGTCTGTAGCCTAACTGAAGACTTCTTCAACCGAATAGTTATAGGAAAAAAACTTTTATTGGTATGTTGTTTTTCCCGTCGTGTCTCTAAGCTTGTAAATGCTGTTACCTTGCCTGTCGATGGCGCACTTCTTCTAACGGTTGTCAACGTTTATCCGTTGCCTAATCCAGTTCCGATGCCTAATCCGTATAGCTGAATGCTACATTTAGAATGTAATCATAATCATCATATCCTGATGGACCAGTGGATTTAAAAGAGGTGGTGTAAAAAAAAATCTGTTTATTTTATTTATAGACACACCTAAATGTCAGGCCTGAACTTGGTCATAGCCAGAGCATGTCTTTAAGGTGGATAAAAAAAAAATTTAAATTGAAAAAAAAAATTAAAAACGGTAAAATTCTGATAAATGATTTTTTTTTAAAACGTGATGACAAACATACAAACAAGATAATTGTAGTGGTGAAACTAATAAATTACAGGCCATCTTTTACGTCATCAATTCGAAATGTAAGTAGAATGCGTCATCTATATAGGTCTATAATTTCATACGGCTATTGACTATGATAATCTGCACCAGAGAAATCCTTTATAGAATTTATGTTTTAGCCTATATTTATTAAGAGAAGGCAGAAGTCCAATTTACTCCATACGGTGTAGAATAGGCCATTTAATCTAGGCGTCAGACAATAATTTAAATATTTGCCTATATTGTTAAATTATCGAATTTACATGTTACGCAAACGAATTTACACGAGACCTGTTTTTATCACATCAACATAACGTTATTCGTATAGGCCTATTCTGTGATTTGAAGTAAAATTTGGGAAGTGTGTCATTCTTGTAAACAATAAATAAATAAATTAATTAATAATAATAAAATAAAATAAATAAAAAATGAAAGAACGGTTGCCTATACTCAATCAAGTGGGTTAAATTGATTCACTTATGAAAAAAGCCAAATAAATAGCCATAAACAAATGAGCATAAATTATCTTATATTATTGTGCAACGAATGGAGCAAAATATTAACTTAAACTTGAGTTTAATCTTGCATCTTCTGCGTTATAGTGTAGCCTGTAGGCATATAAACATTTTTGCCTAATTTAGGCCTATAGCCTACGGCTGTAAGCTAATGCAAATAATAATAATAACCCAATTTTTAAAGTAATTTAGCAAATAATTTATTAATACATTGCTAATATAAAAAAATAAAATACTAAAACATATTTAACAATAATATGTAAAAAAAAAACGCATTAAAATAAGTAAAAGATCTTTACAAATACCGTATTGAAATAATAAGCGCAAATTGCGGTTTACCATTATAAACCTCTTTTAATTCTCCGCAGGAAGTGCCTTTAATAAAAGAGATATTGACTCGTGGCCTCCCAACAGGTCACACTCTAGGAGAAGCATGGTTACCCCTGTATTCCCCCCTTTCAACACACACACACACACACACACACACACACACACACACTTTAGTTGTGACACCACGCATTTCTCCTTCGACATCATTAGCATCTGTATTAGTGTTACTATTATGATACGGGTTTCCGTTGCAAATCGAGTCTTGAGCCAAGAGAGATTTGTGCTCGACCTCCCGCCGTCATCTTATAGTTTATTCTAATGAATATTCTATAGGTGAACCATAGGAAAAGAAAGTGTAAGGAAATCAATCTCTAAAACGCCATTAGACTACAGAAGTGACGTTTTTTTCTGTACGGCGTGAGGATGTTAAAGAAATAGCTCGTACGAAAGTTTCAAAATAATATTTAAAGATAGGTATAGGCTACAAGCAGTCTATAGAAACGTAGTATTATGATGATCAGGATAACAACGATAATGATGATGATAATAATAATAATAATAATAACAACAACAACAACAACAACAACAACAACAACAACAACAACAACAACAACAACAACAATAATAATGTAAAAATATTAAAAATATATTATCAAAAGTTATATTGATAAGCTTATGCTATATAAAACATTAAGGTACTGCATAGAAGGGATAATTACATTTTAATACTAAAACATCTAATGTGAATTTAAACTTGGACAACATTTAATATGGCATTAGTGCTATTAAAAAAAACATAATATTTCCACAATTTATTCAGATTATACATAAAAGCACTTTTATGTATAAAAGGTAGATAGAACTGAAAAGGCATCGAAAAGAAAATTATAACGGAGCCATTTGACATGGGGCAATCGGTCCACCATGTCTCAAGAGAATCCATCTGGACACTGGCTAGACAGGGTGACCTTCTTAATGAGCCCTTGCTCTCCATCGTAACCCCGCCACACTCCTGAAAGGTACATGGGACAGTGAACTGTCCCTCCAACGCCAGATTCCCAACGACATTATACACTTTAGACTTATAGCTAAAATAGCTTTTCACAAGTCTCGATTGGTCGAGAAGTCCACAACTGGAACTTAAATCAGTCACCAATGCCGCTGTTGATGGATCATCGAATATTTGACCTTTTGAATTGTGAAGGGGCTCCTGTATGGGTGCGGTGTATCTTTTAGAGTCGTTTAGCCTCCATGAAGTGTGGAAATAAAGACAACGTTATCCTTGTCCTGAAGTTGGTAGTCCAATTCTCCCTGGATGCACACACACAATAAAAAAAATTAATGTAGAAAACCAATGCACACCAGTGTTGAATGTCAATTTTAGAGAACACTAGAGTCACAGGTTTAAATGAACACTTGATTTGCAGGTTTTTGTCATCATCGACAGTTGCTGAGACATTGACTTTTCCCCATTGATTGTGTTTCTTTAAATTACGGTCTGATGCCAATACATGTTTTCCCTGAAAGAATAACCCAGCACAAGCTGACACTGGACCTAAAATGAGCATGTCATTAAAACAGAGAGTGGAAGCAGTGATTGAGGACCTGTACACACACACAACAACATACACACACACACACACACATACTCTTACCATCAGTTCCCAGTCTGCGTCGTTAATCAATACCAGAATCCCAGGTCTACTGTGTGTGTGTAAAAAAAAAAAAAGAAAAAGAAGAGCCCATGTAAGTGATGTGAGCTACATTGAAAACATGACAGTAAAGCAGCTCTCTTATAATATAATGCAGCCTGTTTATACACAATGAAATTCGCCAGTGCTGCGGTTTTCGAAGACCCTTGCATCTGCAGTTCATTAAATGAATGAGCATCACTCTTAAAAACATACATGTGCAATAAGAAACACAATGAAGACTGTGCACATAACACCCTTTCACAAAGATTAGCACAATATTTACAATTACAGGGATCTTTCTGTGTGTAACCATTATTACCAGTCTACTTAGATTATTTAAAAAAGCAAATTAAATATTTTAATAATACTTGTTGGAGTTTAATATCAAAATGTTTTTCATTTATTTTAGATTTGATGTATAAGGCACTAGTGTTGAGGAACCCTGTCTTTCATGGCTAAACAGTCAAGGCTGAGGTTAATACGCCACTGAAGACT